CAGGGTGCATTGCTGTGCAGTATTCACACTCTTTGGTTGACGGGTTGATATATTGACTATGGTAAAAGTAATTTAGTTGTCAAAGGTCAACAATGCTTCCTGAATCCATGTCAAGGTTTCATAACAAACCAATTACTCAGGCCTGATGAGACTTCCAAAATAAGTGAACTGGTCATTACACTCAACTGATTCACTCTTTTCTACTACTTTAGAAGTTGACAGGAACCAATTACGAAGCAACAGTTTACATATAGAGGGAGAAATTAAATAAAAGAGGGACAGTGGGAAACCTTGATGAACATCACTTAATGTTCACGATCCTGATCGCATTCAGACATAAGATCTGATTCGACCAAAAAACCTTGAGTAAAGAACCCTCACAAAATCTATATACTTGTTTGGTGTACCGTTCTATGAAAGATATCGCTATCTATTGTCAGAAAGCTAATCAAATCGTTAGTATTTCTACGTACCAAAGATCATTCTATTTCAATATGTTTTGAATTGAGTCATTTATATTTGCTAAATAGTTCAATTAAATATAAACAGAATAAATTAACGTATCTCTATTCATTGGAATTGTACTATTCACAAGTGAGTAACCTATAAGGCATCAGTATATGTTCCAGTTTATTGAGTCACTTTAGTCATTTTTGATTTTGGTACATTCAATTAAGATAAAACTTTTCAATAGTACATCTCATCAAATGTTTTTGGTGATGTAATATTTAGTAAATGTGAGAATTTCTCAACATTATTAATATGATATCTCATGTGATAAAAAGGAGTGAATAATAAATAAGATGAATTTTCTAAAGGATATCTTGCTGCTATTCAAAAGTTTCCTTTCATTAACAAGCCTTATGTTCAGATTGGCAAACAGTTCTTATTTCCCAATTGACTGATCACTTAACTATTATTTTTAAGGTAATTGAATAACAGTCAGAGAACTAAGATGAAATATTTGTCAATTCAGTCTACTGTTAAATACAGGCTAAACATGTGTCAGAACAGAACTGTACAAGTTATTTGAAGCCTAACAAATAAAAACTTGGACAAATCAATAAATAGCTTGATATTTTTCTAAACGCTACTTTCGAAGATTAACGATAAAGTTCATTCACCTGTGTTTTTTTAGTTTTTAACAGTCATGACGAGGTGCATACTATATGTATGGAACCTGACATTACTAATAAGTTATGACTAGAAGTAATAATTAAAAGTAAGACAGTTTGGGAAATGTTACATAGATATGAGCTAATAAAAGGGTAAACTGATTTTGTTAGAATTTGGAAAATGTCTTTCACTCCAGACAAAAAAACGAAAAATCAAACATTCCATTTGATTACTCAATGAAGTTCACAATTTAACCAAGTAATTTCAGTTAACAACTGGAATATAAATGTGGTATATGTTAAGAAAACAACTGAGAGGTCTGCACTACGAGTTGAAATTTAAAGTTCATTAAAAATACGAGAAAACTAACTATTTGCCGATGTAGAGAAGTAACTCCACATAAAAAAAATTAGAAATTCAAATCTACACAGTGGAACATTGACAGCTACTATTTAGTGAAACTTAACCAAACATGCATTATAAAACAATGCGAACTCCAAACTAAACTGAAATATTATGTTTTTAACTTTCACAAACTTTGACAATTTGTATTGGTATTACTGGGGCTATCTGACTTCAAACATGAAGGATCTTATAATTTTTTCGAGTATCTTTACAGACCGATAAATTTGCTAGAACAAATCATTAACAAAATTATATCAGAAGACCAAGTACAAAGGTTTTATGAAAAATATATTTCAGAAACACTCCAACAGTAAAATAAAATGAAAGGGGTGCGTAATGTATAAATTTGAGTGAAGTGTACCAAGAGTCTTTAATTAGTTCTTATGCGATCAAACAGAACATAAAAATGTACAATCCCCAAAGACTTCCCAATATGTTAAATATGCATTTATTCAACAAATTTCTATCGTCTTTTGGTTGTATAAAATAAAGAAGGCTGCAAATAGCTTTTACAACACGCTTAAAATCAAAAATTGACAACCGACTAATTCCAACACATGGTCTGGAGCGTTAAATTTACAAATTTTATCAAAGAAATGATAATATAAAAGACCGTATATACATTACTTTAAACTACATTTTTCCAGTTACGTATTCTAATGATATCAGTTTAATTAATCACGTTAGCAGTGATTTAATAACTCTTAGACTGACAAATAAAGACAAACAAAAGTTGATTGAGTTATATCAACACTCTATATTAACAAATTTCTTCTATTTACACAGGTAACAGTTTAATTAATGTCTACGAAACCCGTAGTTTAAGATCTAGAAAAACTTAATTCCACTAAATGCTTTGTGGTTAAATTTCTTGTGACTTCATATATCCTCTTTAGAGTTTATGAAACTTTGCCTTTAGGAAAAGATTTCTAGTCAAGTTGTTACACTACTTAATTAGAAACTTACCAGGATAGTTATCATTTTGACTCAAGACAAAACTATTATGAATTCAGAAAAAAACTTCCTTCCTTTGCCCCAAGTGACCGGATAATTTGATTACTGAGTTCGCATATACGCTTTATGCCTGTCCGATCAATGACCTTCCCATTGACAAAAAAATGGTTAAGAAATCTTATTGGTCCACCTGGATCCTTTTATCCCTATGACTAAACAGAACACAGAAACCGCAACTCAGTTTAGTCTATATTCCTACACTCGTTTAGATTAATCATTACTAGAAAACTCAGAATTATATCCATTAATTACATTGACACATAGCACTACAAAACAGAACATGAATAATAAGCACGTAACCAAGTCATAGGTTATATAAAACGAAGCAGTAGATCAGTTATTTGATTCCCAATGGTTCGGACTAGTTAAACATATATTGACAAAAAATAAGTTAAATTAAAGCTTATAATTAGGACAATATAAAAACATCATGAACCTTATATTTGTTAATTACATGACAAAAGTGTATATAATAATTCTCAGCAGAGTATTTCTACAAGCTTTACTCTTTGTGAGTATCCTCTTTTAATTTAACTACTTTGGATATCAAACCTTTATAAATTAGTCTTAGAATACATTAATAGAAGTTGACTAATATTACTTAATACTGTCACGCCAAATCATCTTTTACTGTCATCGCACAAAAGACACAAACGTCAGCATGTGAAACCAATGTCCGTGTTCGGACTTTAGTGATTACGTTATCTTTTTATTACGTAAATAACTATAATAATTTGTTTTCTTTGTTATCAGTACAGGTTTCGTGTTATTCTTCCACAATTCGTCGGGATAACCGTAGTTGATTCACAAGCACTGAAGACACCACAATTCTTTGCCTACAAACTGTTTAAAATAATTCGACAAAGTTTAAATTGGTAAACACCTAACCACATCATGCTTGGATCACAAAGAAATAAAACTATTAACTTGTGCATCAGACGGAGAAATCTTTTGTATATATTTTAGTCCAGCAAAACATGAATGTAATGTCAGAGATGAGCAACATTCATCTTTGTTGATAAAATTAGACAAACAAATTAGAGAGGCTTGAGATTAATTCTCAGTTTACAAATTCATTACAAACTAGGTAAGTGTTATGGAACCACTTATGATAGGATCGTTTCATTCCCCGGAAAAAATATGTATAAGCATGTAGCATAACCGAATGAATACTAACCACTACTAAGAATTAACACATCATTATTTACCTCATTTAAGTAATTCACTGGTTATAGTTTCCTGTCAAGAATAAAAACGACTTGCGTATGAGAACAAATTATATGTATAGCAGAGATGGAAAGTGGGTGCTTGTGAATTGATGCTTGTGAATTAAGGTATATCGAGGCAATACGCACAGTATGCACATATGCCAATTAGAGACTGACCAGTTGCAGTCCTAACAAATCGATGGGAAGATTCAAACAAACAATACTAAGTTGAATTTAAATTATATGTATCTTTTTATTACACTATTTGAAATGTTCTATTAAACCTAATAATATCTTCTTCAAATATCTTGATTGTACATCCAAAATAAAATCTCACAACTGTTTTTCCCAGCATAAAAATCAGTTGTCATTGAAAGGCCACATACGTTTACCTATTGTACAAAAACAAACTGGTACATGGCAATGTTATTCAACAATAAATTCGACATGGAGTTCCTAAAACTAAAACAATTATCAGTAGATGCGGTATACTGCTCAATAATGAGGAAGAATGTTAACTAGTAACGAATCACTGTCATCTTGAAGAAAACCCGGCACGTTGTATATGAGTATTTTCTAGATATATCATGATAGCAAGAAAAAGGAAAGTTACATGTTGCAGTTAATAAATCCTAGAAAATTTATTTTTCAGGGATAATTTCATAACATATCTACATTTTTGTTCCGTGATCGACAGAAATTCGCCCATAAATTCTACACAACAAAATGATTAGCTTCTGGTAATCAGCCTATGGTTTCGTACGTAAACACATGGTGAGTCATGCTAACAACATTTTCATAAGCTTTTTCCATTAACGTTTGTATTAAACTGTAAACTTTTCATCAAACATAGACACAGGTAGCATGAATGTAAACAGAGGCATTGTATTATGTCGGTGATTAACACCAATCACCACTAACTATGCATCAGTATCCCACTATTCGAACGGAAAGATAGTATGGTCATATTATAATGCGGACAACATACCAAGCTCATAACATACATAGAGGAGATGACCCAATGAAGCCATTAACAAGGGCGTCTGATGGAAACATAAACAAACCGTCAATACTTAAACCATGAAAAAATCTGAATTCATTTGTATGACAGATAAAAGTGAATTATCAGTCCAATTTCATTGGCTGTCAAGTTTATTTCCCTGCTTAAAATTAACCAATCAAAAGTAGAATTTAACCTTGCAAGCTGATCTTCAAGGCCATTGGATACGAGTAAGACATACACCAGTAATCAAATGGCGTAAACATAAGATACTTTATTAATCACATTTCCCATTTATTTGTAATGACAAAACGGTGTCAATAAAAACAAAAGTTTTATCCTAAGTAAGCATCTATTCTCACTGGATCTCTAGCAGTATCACTGCCATTTCAGGTCAAATGTGACATTGAAGCAACTAACTTTTTCAGATGGTTCTTTGTTTACTTTAAAATATCGAAGTTTCCTAATGTTGCCAATGACGGGAATACAATTTCATAAAAAAGCATATTATCAGATTGAATGAAAAAAGGTTGGCAACAGGTTGTCTGTTAGCCCATACCTTTAAAATACTGATACTGTCTATCAGAAACTCTCACATGGTAAATGCATTCAAATTCTACATTTCCTGGGTCTAGTTGTAAAGAAGTACTGAAATCATTCTGCCGATGGACCAGTGTACGTGGATTACAACATTTATTACGCTCAGAACACCCATTACTCCGAACAATTTGGGCTATATTCGTAGCTCTAATGTGTTTAGCTAATATTGGTTTAGTTACTTTGCTCTTGATACATTACTATCAATTTAATACTATTGAAAATATACGTACTCTACGCGGGATTCACGTAGCCTTTCCGCATATCACTTTGTGCAATGTTGATCCAGTCAATTCATATCGTGTATATTGTCTACAAAATCCTAATTCAAAATATTGTAATATCAACCCGAAGTATTCAAATATTTTAACTAAATATCAAGAAGCTAATCGATACTTCAAGACATACAAAGGTTCAACTATATGGCATAAACTAGAAGACCCAAGTATGGTAGCAATATTTTATCAACTGATAGGTATGGAAGCAGCTATACAAATCGGTCATCAAATTGATGATTTCATAATACCAATTTTTTGTGAAGTGACTACAAGGGAGAAAGGTGGAATATTGATGAAACGAAAATGTGAAGAAGCTGGTATTCAAGGTTTGCACTTAATTACCTACAAATATTTTAACTGTTATACTTTATCAATGGAAAATAGTCACATAAGTCACAATGCTGTTAGATTGTCAATGATATTGTATCTGGATGAAGAAGAAGATTTAAATTGTCGACCCTATTGTACACATGAATTTACAGAATGGGCTGGGAGTAAAATTGTCGTTCATTCACCCAGTTCATATCCTGACATTGAAGCATCTGCTTTGAATTTATTGCCGGGAGCTTCGAACCAAATTCTTATCGACGGTATGCATCGTATTGAAAAAAAGAATATGGAATCAAAACCATGTGAAAATAATGAGCGAAATTTCTCCATTGTCTATTTTGATCATGCTCAACAAAAATTTAATCAACGAACTATGGGCTATACAGATACTTTATGTATACAGTTGTTAATACAAAGTGCAATAATGGAAGAATGTCAATGTATTGATTTTCTGATGCCCATACCTGGTATAAAAATGGAACTAGTTAATCAGTTACCATTTTGTGGTAATTTATCACGTTCCACTGTTAATGAAAGTCTTGATTGCAGTCAACAGGTGAGACAAAAGAACTCAAAGCATTTCCGTCTTTTATGCCCGATTCCATGTGTGCAAATGCAATATAATTATGAATTGACTCAATTAAGATGGCCACAAAAGCCACGTATATTAAATTATTATGCTCAGTTGAAAGATCGTTTTGATTATAACCGAAAATTTGATATTTATGAGAAGATTGAAGAGATCTCTATGATCAATGCAACACAAGCTTTAACTATGCTTCAAGACACGGATATATTTGAAAAGAATTTTCTACATGTTGATGTTAATCGTCCAAATTTTGATACATTAATGTCATATAGAGAAAATGAAGAATACACTTTACCAACATTATTAAGTCAAATTGGTGGAATTTGTAGTATATTTCTAAGTTTCACCTGTGTTACAGTATTAGAAATTATTGAATTATTATGTAGATTAATCATTATTGCTTTTCCAAGATTTCTAACTGTTTCCAAAAATACAATACATTATTTAAATAAGAAAACTTTAAAATTGGATAATCCTACATTTACCAATAGTACTAAAAATAAAAGTAATCGTACAATAGTTGAACCAACAAAGAACTTATCAACACTTTCATATAAAAAAGATCAAAATCATAAACCTTGTGATAACTGCCGTAATTATACAAAATCTACGATTAAAAATATAATGATTGATAATAATGATAATGAAATCAATTATTTACAAGAAATGTTACTTACTACTAATACAAATCATAGTAGTAGTAATAATATCAATAATAATAATATTAAACTTAGAGGACAATCTTATGTTGGTTTAACTAATTATCAAATAAAAAAATATCTAACTGATAATTTTATACAAATACATGAAACCGATGATAATTACATTTTACATAAACCTAGAATGCAGATTTTCAACCCAAATCAGACAATATATACTTTAGATAATTCATTCACAAATCATTCACAAAATATTTTAAATCAAAATAATGAATTCATAAATTATAATAATTTATTGAATAATTTAAATTATTATAAATCAATAACTAATCAAAATTTAGTAACTATGACAACAACAAATATAATTAAATCAAAATCATTTCCTAATTTATTTTCATTACATTAAATATAATTAATAAGTTCGATTAATAATGTTTATTAGAGATGAGAATGATTGATGGATTTATTGATTTTTTTATAAAAAAAATGTTCCGATAAGAATGGAACTTAACAAATTATGATTGTAAAATGTATTAATTTTATTATTTCTTTTGATACTACTAAAATAGCTCAAATGTATCTAATAACTTGTATATGATTAATATTTTATGGATAATAGTTTATAATTGATCATTATGTACATTTAAATGAAAGATGAAAAGGGTGAACATTATGAAATTATCTCAGGTTTATTTTATCATTTGAAATTCCTTGTGTTTTTTTTCAAAAAAAAAATAAGAAAAATGGTTTTTGGATTGTCTACAAATACAGATCAATCATAAGATCAATTGAAATAACTCTCTGAATCAATATCTATAGATTAAAGGATTTGTTTCACTAACTGAATGATTTAGTTGCGTACCTGTATAAAATATTTGATTATCGATAGTGATTTACATTAATTTTTGTGTTTAGTAAAACAAAAATAATCAAAATGAATTGACTCAACCATTATTGTAGTGATCCTATTCATGTCGATTATAAAACAATTTACCATTGTTTTTTTGTATTAAATAGTTGACACCCAGTTAAATCCTCATATAATTCACCTTTCTAGTAAGTTTTAATTATTTGTTTCAATTATTTCGACCTGTAATAATTTTTTTGGATAGAAATTGAAATACGAATCAGTCATGTATTAATATCTTATACTTTTTATTACTTTCTAATGAAGTGGTTACTAGTGTGGCGTAGTGAAAATTTATACAACTGCTTTTCATTTTTACTTTGATTTTAATCACAATCCAAAGTGGTTAATTATTCTCATATGCTCTAGATCAGCAAGGATAGATAAATCAGTAAGTAATTATTATACTGCCAAAACAACCAGATTTACAATTATTTGATCACTGGGTGGAGGTCAATGTCATGTATAGCAGGCCGTTCTTAGTGTAGATCGAATCCTATCGACCAAGTTGCAATGTGGTCACCAGTCTGGGTGACTTGATATTGAGTGTACTATGTTGAAATAAGATGATGGTTGGAGGTAGTCAACAGGAAACCCTGTACCTAGGTTCCGTGCTACTTGGCACTCGTCAACAAAGTGTACATGTAATCTTGAGGGATTCGATCTGCATTAAGAAGGACCTGACATACATGATATTGGTCACCACCCAGTGATCAGTCGATTGTAAATACTTCTCATTCCTACAGGAGGTCGGTCGCGGCCCGGATAAGTCAGTGGTAACATCTCTGACTGTGAAGCTAGGTGACACGGGATCGAAGCATCAGTTCCCTCAAGATTACAGGTACACCTTGCTGATGACTACCAAGTAGCACGAAACCTAGGTACAGGGTTTCTTGTCGACTACCTCCAACCACCATCCTACAACCAGGTTTAAAACTAGCTTATAATCCATAAACGAAATATAAATCACAGTACTAGTTATCAGTTTTTAAAACATTGTCTCTACAGTATTCTTATCTAAACTTTAAAAATAATGAAAGACAATTATATTGAAATACATGCAAATAATGAATGATGGGTGGAGAAATAGTTGTAATAGTTAGACAGGTAGAAGATATTTGTGACTGAAAGTAAGTGACAGATACAGACCGTAAGAAACATTTATTAACTACATATTTTTGATAATAATAAATAAGGGCAATGTAAATGGATGGAAATGTGTTGAAAAATTATAGTCGTTAATTTTCGAGATGTTACATAGAAATGCAGAGCATGAGAAAATCTAATGTTATTTCTCGTACATATCCTTATCCCATACAAAATCAATGCATGCTATTTCATATTTTGAACAGATTAAATTCGTAATTACAGTTCCAGTAAGACAATCAGCATTGAACTACAGGAATATTTTGTTTAAATTCAAAGAAAAAAACGAATCTTTTATTTCATCACCCTGTCACCCTCAAACCATGATCAAAAAGATAATATTGGATGTCAGCTCAGTGGTCTATCCGTTAAGTGCTCTGGAGCGATACTGGTACCTCCTGGGTCCGAATCTCGCGAGGTGGGATCGTGGATGCGCACTGCTGAGGAGTCTCACAATAGGACGAGACGGCCATTCAGTGCTTCCAGGTTTTTCCTGGTGGTCTAGCTTCAACTGACTCATGATCTCAACTATATAAAATTACTAAAATCTCCACGAAACTCTTTTCTGATAATCTATATTAGTTCTTCACAGAAACATGAATATTGATTTACTCGTAATTGACAAATGAATTAAGCATAAAATTATATTGAAAATCGACTTTTCGACTGAAATGAGGCTCGTATAGTTAATTTTAAATGAAAGTTTTTTTTAAATATAATCATTAAATATGATTTCTATTAATAGCTGATTAAACAACTATCTAGAATGTTTACTGTCTCATAAACAATCAGCAACCGGATATTAGTGAGAAGAAGTAAATATAAGTCCTTCTAAATCTCATGAAATTTATTTTATTTCATTTATCTCCCTTACATAAAATGTTATAACTGGGCAAAAGACTAACACATCCTAATAACTAGACTACTAATTATCAATTGAACAAAATGTAGAGAATAAAAACTAGAAACTGTACTCTAAATGATTAGTTGAAGGTACTAACTATTTATAGGAATTTAAGTGATGTGAAATTTTCAGAAGATTAACTAATAGTGCATAATAATTAAGTAACCTAAGTTGTACAGATTCATTAACTTGTGATAGCGGGAAACAATTAAATTTGGGATGATTTAAAGCCAGGAGGTTAGGTAAGAAGAAAGTTGTGAAATAGTTATGCCTATATGATTAATTGGTTTTATATTATATAAAGGATTGAAAAACACTTTATATCACTAGAGAAAAAAAAGCCTGATTTCAGTTTGCTTACTTTATACTCCTTAGATTGACTCCATTTGATAACACTTATGAAAGGTAGTTCCCCATTTGATCTAGTTTATCATGCTGTGGTCAATCAAATTTTGTTAAAAGGTACGAAAAATTCAGACACGAAATGTGTTTGAATACGATACAATACAAATTATAGAGGTTTTTTCTAGTTCATGCAATCTAATAAGTTATGAATCATCTTATGTATGAAAAGAGAGACATGTATAAAATATAAGTAAATAGACACATACAGAAAGTGTACACGCATATCACTTAATAGAAAACGTACAAAATAATTTAATAGGATTAGGAATAACGGGATAGTATTCGTGTTCGTGAATTCGTAGCACATTTACTTCTCAGTATTCAATGTTTGTGTAATATATGACATTTCTCCATTCACATAATGAGAGAGTACTCCATATAAGAACATAATTTTCACCTCTGATTTCATTTCATGCTCTTACTTTCACTTTATTTGCTTTTCTTATCCAGAAATTTGGGATGTGCTACAGTAGCGTATTCACAGGAGACGTATATAGACAGTTTTAGAGTATTAAAATTCAGTCCATTATGAAAATATCTTTCTTGTATACGCTAGTAATACACCAAATAAACAAAAATATACTCAAAAATGACATATTGCACTTTTGTTAAATATTGAAAACAGGATGGTTATCCCCACACTAAATATTCTAGATGAATAATTTGTGATACTACAACCTTACGAATGAACCACTGAGATAATATTATGCCTTGAAGAAAAAAAGAATCAAAATAACTTGCTTAAAAACGAAATAATCATAATGGTTGTTATCTCTTGAATGTCTCACAAATTGAAATTTTGCGGTTTGAATCTTTTTCTTCCTATCGATAGAGTTATAAAATCGATATTATTATATTCTGCATAATAATGATATTGAATACCGGAAGACCAAGATGTCACACTTAACAATGGTAAAAGATATACAGATTCATGAGCTTAATCCGATCTCAATATTTTAACAACTGAATATTTGGAATTGATTAGTGTTTTATAAAGTTAAAGAATAGTTTATTAACATTTAAATTATACTCGGATGATATATAAGTTGCAGTAAAGTGGTATCAGTGTTATATTTCCTATTCGTGTCAGAAATTCAATAAACACATTGTAAAACACGAAGTTACCGTTTGCTTTATCAACACTCTATAACAAACCAAATGTTGCAACATATGAATTAATAAAAAAGTAATTGTCAGTTCTTGGAGAATTAAACAACACAAACATTAAATATTGACTATCTTCAAGAGTGAAATGTAGCACTAAGTTATTGTTGTTGTGCTATCTTAAGAATTGAATTACGTCTAAAAATGTAAAACCTTCGGTTTATGTATCAAAAGATTCTGTGCTTGCCATGAAACAAGAAAGCTCTGTGTATGCAATTCTGAGAAGTCCCTAATTAGAATAGCCCAGATGCTTAGATCATTGTTTTTTTAGTGATATGAGTTTGTGATAACTCTTATCTTTGAAATCTCAGATTTTTAAACTTAGTACATAAAACGATAAATAATCGGGAAGCACAATCAAACTAAACGAAAATTGGACGGCTGTTTCGTCCTATTGTGGGACTCCTCAGCAGTGCACATCCACGATCCCGCACTCGCGAGACTCGAACTCAGAACCTACCAGTCTCGCGCCAGAGCATTTAACTGATAGACCACTGAGCCGGCGCCCAACGGTGTTAATGTCTAACTTCAACCAATCCACGATGTTTGAGCAACCTTGAGTTCTAGTGGGAAGCAGTAACCAGTGCAGTTCAACCAAGTCTGTTGTAGAGATATCAACTCACTGAAGACAACTGGTGAACCGTGGCTCAAAATCGTAGATTTGTTGAAGTTAGACATTAACACCGTCAGATGCCGGCTCAGTAGTCTATCGGTTAAATGCTCTGGCGCGAGACTGGTAGGTCCTGAGTTCGAGTCTTGCAAGTGCGGGATCGTGGATGTGCACTGCTGAGGAGTCCCGTAATAGGACGAAACGGCCATATAGTGCTTCCAGGTTTTCTATTGCGGTCTTGCTTCAACTGAATCATGCTTTCAACTATGAAAATACTGAAATCTCCACAAAACTCTTTCTGATCTATAAACGAAAATTGACTGATATCAAGATCTATTTTTGAATTCACTAATCAACACAATACATTCAAAACATTTCATTTAAAAGAAATATTTCCAAACAGAAAACAATTTTCATACCCCAATCTTAATTTATGCATAATTGGTTAAGGTTGTGTTTTTTTGAATGCCAATACACTAACTGCTTTCGATATTTTGACTTAAAAATTCACTTACGTAAAATTTACGAGTATTCTACTCATTTAATGAGTTGAAAGAAGAAAGTAACACTACCATAATTTAGGTCATTTTAATTTAGTTAAAACGATGGCTTTATATTATATTAAGTTCAGATTTGTGACTTATTATGAACCCAAAACAATTCATTCTCATATGACAACATTTATAAAATATATAGAAAGATTAGTAAATAGTACTAAAAATAAGTTGATTTATGAAACAGATCGAATGGTTTTACTCCATTGTATCCAAATTAGTTTTATGGTTAACATATGTGATATTAAGTAATCTGCTTTTTGAAGAAATGATTTATTTGTATATGCATTTTTTAATGATACTAAAGATATCAATCTATTCAGTCAGTCACTCACTAACAATGTAGAACTTAGTACGTACGTACATCAGTTAGAGTTGCCATACCACATTAGTACAGGGATGCAGTTCTCGATTCAAATCCCATAGTTGTAGGGGTAGTAAGAGTATAAGCAGTAATCAGACATTAGGGTTTGAAGATGTTATTCAAGAAGTATAATCCAGTGAAATAAATTCGGAAAGTGAAAAAAGGACATGAAGAATTCGGAAGATTGGAATTTAGCAGAACACAAAGAGTGGATGCACCTTCGCCAATGCAAACGATTTTGAGCCGTGTCATTCAAGGTCTCTAACCATCGGTTGCTATCATCTCGCGAATCCCAACCAGATAGTCTACACCTACCAACATGGATCAGTCCACTTGTCACTGATTTCATGGATTTGCGCCACGTTTTGGTCTATTAGCAAAACGTTAACATTAATAGTAACAATGAAATACTCAGCCATATTTTATCCAATCAGATTTTGTTTTGGTAGATCAAAACACCATTAAGAACTATGGATTACTATACAATTGCTTTAC